AACTTTCCAATAATAAGTAAGGTAATAATTGGATTAACTTTCCAATAATAAGTAAGGTAATAATTGGATTAACTTTCCAATAATAAGTAAGGTAACAAATGGATTAACTTTCCAATAATAAGTAAGGTGATAAATGGATTAACTTTCCAATAATAATATCGTACTTAAAAATTCATCTCGAACTTATTTAATTACAAGAAAACAAACTTGTCATTTTGAATTGGTTCAACAAGTTACATTTTTGTGCTTCTCTTTAGAGTCTGGAGGAAAATACTAAATGTTATAAATTGTCAATGTGATTGTCATCTGTAAAAATATACAAACATAAATATTGCGTTGTGTTAGCGAAAGAAGGCATGAAATAAAATGCGTTTTTCCATATTTTATTTCCAGTGGCAGTTTTATGGGATAGGAGTCCCTTGGATAGAGAGTATAAAGCCACGTGACAACAACTCATCTTTCTCAGCCTACATGGTGAAACAATAGAAGTGGTTGTATGTTAATTGACTGTGGTTGGGGTACACGTAGTTAATTCTAATTAGCTTGTGACTTTGGATTACATGTTCGAGTCATTCCTACTACGCCCACCGTTTCAGACACAGTAAGAACAATGAGAGGAAAATTCTTTCTCGACCTTACTACCCCTTGCATTATTTAAATACAATAGAATGTTTATCTTTTTTTGATAAAACGGACACCACATATCGTTATCTTCATTAGTCTAACTGTTGGTTTTCCATCTTGGGGGATGATAATCACTTATGTTGTTATTCTGTATTGACGCTAACAGTAAACAGCGTTAAATACAGCGTTATTTTTTGTATTTAATTATAAAAAAAACTTGCTTTATAAATATACAATGCCTCTAATGTACTCTGTTTTGTTCGGCATGGATTATTATTTTTTACACGTGCCTTTAAGTAGTTAAATACTTCAAAATATATTCTGTATTTAAAAGAAAGTCATAAATCAAGTAAAAACACTGTTTTGATAATGTAGTTAACACAGTAAAAATAAAAGCGAAAGACTCCTAATAATATACATTTACTAGAAAACATATTCGTAACTAATCAAGCTGAATTAATTATAATTGCAACGGGAGAATGGCGGGAAATACTGATGTAGGAGTAACACCCATATTTCTTGTTCACTCACATGTTACTGTTTTTTCTAGGCTGTTTTGCTGACAAATAATATTTTTAATATTATTGTGCGATGCTCAGTAGTTTTATGAAAAATAACCATGTTAACATGGAAGAAGGTTGTATAGTTGTACTGTAAAACATTGCAGTGTTATATATTCAAAAACAGAACGATACCGAAGACAGCAAACTCAATCACGTGGCAATTCCTCAGAAAGGTCAGAGTGCAGCACGTCAACCCACGAGTGGAGGCTCATGATTTAGTAAGATGCCAAGATGGCAGCTGTAAATAAGACAAAACAACCGGACACAGAACTCTACTGTTGATCTAATTCAGCATTAACATGCAAAAGTACACTGAGAAACAGAATGTTTGTTTCAACACTTTTTGAATATACTGGAGACAACACAGAACTCTACTGTTGATCTTCAACATTAAACAAACATTGAGAGACAGAAACAGAGTGATTAGATATACAAGTCATAAAACATCCTGGATAGATATGGAAGTCATGAAACATCCTGGATAGATGTAGAAGTAATAAAACATCCTGGATAGATGTGGGAGTCATGAAACATCCTGGTTAGATGTAGAAGTCATAAAACATCCTGGTTAGATGTAGAAGTCATGAAACATCCCTGATAGATATACAAGTAATAAAACATCCTGGTTAGATATAGAAGTCATGAAACATCCTGGTTAGATGTAGAAGTAATAAAACATCCTGGTTAGATATGAAAGTCATGAAACATCCTGGTTAGATATGA